ATCGTGCTCCATGGTGGTCAGTGCTACACCTACTCGTCATCTGTTTCGTCATCTGGAGTCACAAACCACGGTGCCAGAGCCACGTATTACATACATTATGTAAAGGCTAAAACCATATTTTTTCACTTTTGTACAAAATGCTTATTACAATCATCTATAAGCATATTTTTATCATCCAAAACTGTGTTCCACAGGAGATATCGCTTGTGTGAGATCAAACGATATCTCCTAGGAGATATCGTTTTGACAGTAGACTTTGTACAATGCCCTGACAATGCTATGACGTCATGTACTTGATGACGTCACAATGCTATGACATCGCTGCACTGCAAGTCTAATGGCAGTACCATGTCCAGAGATGTACATTTTTCATTGAAAATTAATGAAAAGTGATTTTGGATGATAAATAGAATCTCACCCTCGTGTCTTCTGATATCAAATATATCAACACTCGTTGATAAAGTAAAAATATCCTCGGCAAGCCTCGGATATTTGTAACTTTATCAACTCGTGTTGATATAATTGATATCAGAAGACACTTGGGTGAGATTCTCTATATGTTTCAAAATCATCATCTACAATCAATTACATCTCCAATAAGTTAATTCACTTCTTTAGATGAGTAAATCAAAACATTGATTCTACTCCTTATTGTAATCAAAACAAAAGCACATGTCATTGTTTACAAACATGGGGTCAGCTGACCTAATTTGCATATCATCACCACCTGGTGGCTGTTTCAAATTTGTTACCTGGCTGAAGTCACTGACTCTCCATATTGGTCATGCACCTGGTCCAAGTGGGAACACAAGGTGTAAGTAACAATTTTTTGCTGTATCCTACCATAATGTTTTAGAGAAAGTGTAATGTAATGAATATCTGCTATTTTTTGGTGTTTATTATGTTGTTTGGTAGGAAATGTGTAATTTGAAGGGAAATTTCATGTGAACTGTCTATTTCTGTTATTTGCATTGTTTTCATGACTGAGCCTAGATGAAATAACGAATATGGTTCTGTAACAGTGTATAAGGCCTAAAATGAGTAAAATTATGTAAAAAAGGCTTTTTCATATCTGTATTGATATGAGTTTGTGTTTGTATAACTGAGGTTCTTTTTGTTTGTTTTTATTGTAGTTTTTGAACCTCGTCACATGTGTGGTATGAATAAATTCTGTGGCGCGAGTTTCGCATTTGTGTTCTTGCTGCTACAAAGTTCAAAAAAACCTTCTGAACGAGAAGATGGACTGTTGTGGACAGCCGGGCCAGGACTGAAGTGACAACGTAACAGAATGCCAGGACAAGTCAGAAGATAACAGTTGAAAGTGAATGGTGACTTGTGAATTGTGACAGTTCTGTTGAATTTGTGTTTTGTCAGTTTTGTAGGACATTATAAGACTGAATTTAGTCAACGTCCTACTCGTCAACGGGTCCTAACGGAGAGAGGAAGGGCTGAACGTTTGTGTGGTTTGAGAAGGGGTGCTACTAGTGCACTCGCTGCTGTGACCAAGTGTAAAAAATGAACTCACTAGACTGTTGAATGATTCTAATGCTGACAATTTACACTTGATTAAATCATGTTTTAGTAGATATCATGATTTGTGTTTCCGCTATGAGAAATGTGTTGAATCTTACACTAGGGAGATGGAGTCTCCAGAGGAAGTAAATATCTATACTGTTCAGGCTAAAGAGAGGTTACAGGCAATGAAGAATTCCGGGAGCAGGTGTTGGATTCAATCAAGACACAGGAACGTGAGTTATTAGCGGAAATTGAATATGATTCAGTGTCCTACAGGGGTTCACAGCACAGCCATAGATCTAAAGGTGGGAAGTCTACTTTGTCTTATGCAAGTTCTACCAAATCTGCTCGTACCTTTGAGAAAGCAAAACTTGCAGAATTGATTGCAGAGCGTTCTATGATGGATGCTGCACAGAAGGTCAAGGAGTTACAGCTGGACATTGAGATAGCCAAGGTACAGGCACGTGAGAAAGTTTTCGCCACTGCAGAAAATGATGACATTGAACAGACAGCGGTGAAAGATGTATTCAAGGCAAGTGACCAGATGAACAGACTTACCTTGCAAGACACAGAGCCCAGAAAGCATACATATCCACTGCGCAGTACTACCTTTAAATCAGAGCCACATCCCAGTGAGTATGTAAGCTATCCAGCTACTTCCAGTAACTACCCCAGGCACCTCCCTACCAGTACACTAGAGTCTGTTAATATGAATCAGGGGCAAAGTGCAAGTAATATCATGACAGAAGTTTATAGGCAGATGACAAGTGCAATGTTATTGCCACAGACAAAAGTTCCTACATTCAAAGGGGATCCTATGGAATTTGGACAATTTATCATGTCTTTTGATGCTCGCATTGTACCACACACAAATAATGATGCTGACAGATTGTACTATCTTGGCCAGCAGCTTGAGGGTGAGAGCTAAGGACTTGATATCAGGCTGTCTATATATAGAGCCTACAGAGGGATACAGGACTGCACGTCAGCTCTTGCATAATGAATATGGTGACCCATATAGTGTTTCCAGAAGCTATCTGAGCAAAGTACTTTCTTGGCCGACAATCAAGAATGATGACAACATTGGACTCAAACAGTTATCTGTCTTGTTGTTTAAATGCTACCATGTTATGCATAGCATCTCTCACATGTCGGTGTTGAATCATGCTCCAAACCTACAGGCCATTGTACAGAAGCTGCCTTTCACCTTGCAGAACAAATGGAGAGACAAGGTCACAAAACTTAGAATGGGTGGACAAAGGGCTGTTGATTTCAAGGCATTAGTGGATTTTGTTGATTTTGCAGCCAAGTCAGCGAATGAGCCCATTTTTGGTAAGGAAGCCCTGACAGCTGGCCAAGAATCGACAAAACGTCGAAGAGAGGAAAACAAAAGGAGCAACCAGTCTTCACGAAGGCAAGAATTCAGCAGTTTTGTAGCAGGAGTAAACAGCAATGAACAGAAAAATGGTAAGCGTTCCAAGGACAATGAGAAATGGTTCTGTTATTTCTGCAAGAAACAGCATGATATTGACAATTGTGAATCTTTTAAACAGAAGTCACTAGCAGAGAGAAGAGCTTACCTTCGTGACAACAACAGGTGCTTCAGCTGCTATGGTGCTAACCATACTTCCAGGGGATGTCTGAAACATCGTGTTTGTGCAGTCTGTGAATTGCGCCATCCCACAGCCTTACATGATTACAACTACAAGCCTGAAGATTCTCCAAAGACAAGTAGTAAAGTACTGTCTGGATCCAGTAATCAAGAGACAAGTGTGGAGACAGCCTGTAATGTCACTGGGACAGGTGTCATAGAAACAGTTCTGCAGCCTATCATTCTTGTCAAAGTAAAACAGAAGGGTCAAGACAAGGTAATCACGACGTATGCCTTTCTAGATAATGGAAGCACAGGATGCTTTATCACCAATGACTTGAAGCAGAGACTGGGTGCTAAAGCTATGAAGTCCACACTGAAGCTTACTACCATGAACGGAACGGAAGTGATTGATACTGATGTTATACATGATCTCATCATCACTGACCTGTCTGATGACAATCTTTCTCTTCTTCCCAAGACATTCTGTCGAGACGTCATGCCTGTAGACCACAGTCATATCCCTCAGCGTCAACTTCTACAAAAATGGAAGCATTCTCAAGGTATAGCTGATACATTGCCTCCATACCAGCCAAACACTGACATTGGACTCCTGATAGGCATCAACTGTTCTTCTGCACACCAGCCACTTGAAGTAAGGTCAGACAAGTTGTCAGATCTGTTTGCTGTTCGCTATCGACATGGTTGGACAATCAACGGCCCTATACAGGTGAAGCACAACAGAGAAAGACAATACAGTGGTGTGCAATAGAATTCTTCTGCGTCCAGTCACAACAGCTAATGAGTGCTTGTCAGAAACAGTTCTCAAGATGTTTGAACAGGACTTTAGTGAACATGGTCAAGGTAAACGACCTGGTGAATTGGGACTCTCAGTGGAGGATGAGAGATTTATGGAAATTGTTAAAGGTCAACACTGTTTCATTGATGGACATTTCCAAGTTCCACTACCTTTTAAGAAGTTGGATCAGACTATGCCGTACAATCGTGAGCTTGCTGTCAAGAGAGCTTTGGGTCAAAAGAAAAAAGATGCTCCGTGATGACAAGTATCACAGAGATTATGTAATGTTTGTAGAATCTCTTCTCCAGAAAGAATATGCACGCAAGATCCCTCCTGCTGAACTGAACACACAACCTGGACGTATATGGTACTTACCTCACCATGGCATTTACCATCCGAAGAAACCAACAAAGATCAGGGTGGTCTTCGATTGTAGTGCGAAATGTAAAGGTCTGGGTTTAAATGATGTACTGCTTCAGGGTCCCGACCTCACGAATTCATTGTTGGGCGTTCTTCTTCGCTTCAGAGAAAACAGCATAGCTTTCATGGGTGATATAGATGCTATGTTTCACCAGGTCAGGTTGCCAGCTGAGCATCAGGACTTCTTTCGCTTTGTTTGGTGGCCAAATGGAGATCTAGACGCAGAACTGGAGGAATACTGCATGACGGTCCAGGTCTTTGGAAGCGTGTCATCTCCATCTATCGCTAACTTCGCACTCAAGGCAACCGCTGACAAGGTTGAAAAGAAATATGATGAAAGTGTGACAGAAACTCTGAGAAGAAACTTTTATGTAGACGATTGTCTTAAGTCTGTGGGTACTGAGGGAAAACGCCATCAAACTTATCAAAGACTTACAGTCAGCAAGCATGGAAGGCGGATTCAAACTGGCAAAGTTTGTCAGTAACAGCAAAGCAGTGGTTTTGTCTATCCCTCCTGGAGACAGATCTAAAGATATTCAAGCAATAGATATGGACTATGACAAGTTGCCTGTAGAACGAGCACTTGGATTACAGTGGCATACCGAATCGGACACATTTGAATATGCAGTTGTATTACCAGACAAAGCCTTGACAAGGCGAGGTATATTGTCGACAATGTCTTCACTGTACGATCCTCTTGGACTAGTATCACCTGTGCTCCTGCCAGCCAAGAAGATATTACAGGACTTGTGTAAAGACAAATCACTTGACTGGGACGACATTGTCAGTGAAGAGAATCAGCAACTCTGGAAACAGTGGCTTGCAAACCTTCAATCTCTCAGGTCGTTGAAAATTGATCGTTGCATGAAGCCTGATTATTTCGGCAACATTGTCTCAAAGCAGCTCTGTGTATTTTCCGATGCCAGCACAAACGGATATGGATGTTCAGCCTACATTAGGCTTTCTGACAACTGCAACAACATCCATACAGTACTTCTCATGGGCAAGTCACGTTTAGCACCTATGAAAACCCAGAGTATTCCCCGACTCGAATTGACGGCGGCTACAGTGGCGGTTAAGATCGGACGACAACTGCTATGTGAACTGGACATTGACGATGAGAATATCACCTACTTCACAGACTCAACCACAGTCCTTCACTACATCAAGAGTGAGCACAGAAGATTTCCTGTCTTCGTAGCAAACAGGGTTAGACTGATACGAGACTTTTCTACTCCTCAGCAATGGTTCTACGTGGATTCAAACAGCAATCCAGCAGATATCGCTTCAAGAGGAAGCAGTTGTGAAGGCCTAGTGAAGTCAGCAACATGGTTTGAAGGTCCACGATTCATGAGACTACCTTATTCAGAATGGCCATCCCAGCCTGCTGACACTTTGTATGACAAAGACCACACTGAGGCCGAGGAGTGTGTCGCTATTGTGAGTGTAAAACAGTCTCAAAGTTCAAGTTGTGGTGGTTTGATGAAGCTGATAAACTACTACTCCTCTTGGTATCGCCTGAAACGAGCTGTTGCAGTCTACCAACGATTAGCCAAAATCTTGTATCAGAGAAATATGAAACGTGATATCAAATCCCTACTAACTGATCAGAAGTTCACTGTTACAGAACTGGAAGATACTGAAACATCTATTGTGAGATTCATACAATCAGAACATTACAGGTCAGAGATAAACGACTCCAGGAAATCTGGGTCAGTGAATAGGAATAGTGGAATTCGCAGATTGAGCCCATTTCTTCATGACGGACTACTGCATGTTGGAGGTCGTCTATCACGAGCGCGCATATCTGAAGATATGAAGCATCCTATTCTGATCCCTTGTACCAGTCCTATCAGTATCTTGATCATCAGAGAGATTCATGAGAATTCTGGACATATTGGACGTTCACAGGTACTGTCTACTTTGAGACAGCGCTATTGGATAACGAAGGCAAATAGCACAGTCCGCAGCGTCATCAACAAATGTACAACATGTCGAAGATATAAGAGGCAGACAAGTACTCAGCTTATGTCGGACTTACCAGAGAAAAGAGTTAATCCAGCTCCTCCATTTGCATATTGTGGTGTGGATTTCGTCGGCCCACATACAGTGAAAGAAGGAAGAAAAAGCGTGAAACGTTACGGGGCTCTCTTCACTTGTTTCACCAGTCGAGCTATCCATATCGAAGTAGCAAATTCCTTGAGCACAGATTCTTTCATACAGGCCTTGCGTCGTTTCATCGCAAGAAGAGGACCTGTACAGGAAATCCATTGTGATAATGGTACAAACTTCACCGGGGCAGCAAAGAACTTGAACAATCTGTACAAGAAATGGATCAGTCTAGATTACATGAGTACTTGCTGAAAAGCAACATTTCCTGGAAGTTTAACCCACCAACAGCTAGTCACATGGGCGGCGTGTGGGAGCGACTTATACGTTCCGTGCGTACTGTTCTTAATCCCCTACTGCGAGAGTTTGGAGAGCGAATAGATGATGAGTCCTACAGAACACTGCTGACTGAAGTTGAAGGTATTGTAAATTCCCGACCCTTGACAACGTCGTCTGATGATCCGCTTGATCTCCAGCCTCTAACGCCAAATCACCTCCTCATGGTGAAAACACAAGTCTTTATTCCTCCGCCTGGAACATTTCAGAGGAATGATGTCTATATGCATCAACGTTGGAGATGTGTTCAACATTTGACCAACCTTTTCTGGACAAGGTGGAAAAATGAGTATCTCCTTACCTTACAAAAACGTCAAAAGTGGAATGCTCCGAAACGTAACTTTGAAGTAGGAGACATTGTACTGCTGAAAGATGAGTCTTTACCCCGAACCTACTGGTCTATGGGACGCATCGTAGAAACGGAGCCTGATCAGCAAGGTTATGTCCGAACTGTAACTGTGAAGACGCAGGGGTCTACGTTACGCAGGCCTATCCACAAGCTTGTGTTGTTGCTTGCAGGCAACCAGTGAATTTGTGTGTTTTCTGCTTGAATTTCCAGCTTTAATGTAGTATTTAGCCTTTATTTTTTGTGTTAAACATGTTATATATGTTTAAGAGGCCGAGTATGTAAAGGCTAAAACCATATTTTTTCACTTTTGTACAAAATGCTTATTACAATCATCTATAAGCATATTTATGTTTCAAAATCATCATCTACAATCAATTACATCTCCAATAAGTTAATTCACTTCTTTAGATGAGTAAATCAAAACATTGATTCTACTCCTTATTGTAATCAAAACAAAAGCACATGTCATTGTTTACAAACATGGGGTCAGCTGACCTAATTTGCATATCATCACCACCTGGTGGCTGTTTCAAATTTGTTACCTGGCTGAAGTCACTGACTCTCCATATTGGTCATGCACCTGGTCCAAGTGGGAACACAAGGTGTAAGCAACAATTTTTGCTGTATCCTACCATAATGTTTTAGAGAAAGTGTAATGTAATGAATATCTGCTATTTTTTGGTGTTTATTATGTTTTTTTGGTAGGAAATGTGTAATTTGAAGGGAAATTTCATGTGAACTGTCTATTTCTGTTATTTGCATTGTTTTCATGACTGAGCCTAGATGAAATAACGAATATGGTTCTGTAACAGTGTATAAGGCCTAAAATGAGTAAAATTATGTAAAAAAGGCTTTTTCATATCTGTATTGATATGAGTTTGTGTTTGTATAACTGAGGTTCTTTTTGTTTGTTTTTATTGTAGTTTTTGAACCTCGTCACATGTGTGGTATGAATAAATTCTGTGGCGCGAGTTTCGCATTTGTGTTCTTGCTGCTACACATTATATAATATATTTTTCTTTTATTATCCTATTTAAATTTCGTATTACTAACATTCCACTACTTTGAAATTATTCAATTATCTTTTAATGAGCTATTGTCATTATCGATAGGGTAATGTCAAGTCAAGTCAAGTCTTTTATTTCGTATGAAGCCCATCGGCCCATATGCAAATATGCAAATAGTTATTACAATGACGAGTGTTGCATAGGTACACTATGAACAACTTAATTTAACATAAGTTGCTTGATGAAATACAAATATATTATCTATTAACCAACCGCTGTCGTAGCTCAAACATAAGTATTTACAAAGATTATTTAATAACTCAGTTGATGTAGAAGATAATAATTGATTACATTTATAGGTTCACGGATTGTCGTTGTACATTTGTGGTAAATAGCAATTTCTTAAATTATTATTGTATTCACATATAAGTATAAAGTGAAATTCATCTTCTCTATTACATATGGGTCAAATACGTTGATTAAAATCAACTCCTAACCACTGTCCCTCATTAACCTTTAGTTTTAAAATACCCGCTCTGGTCCTAGTAAGAATATTTCTGTGTTTCTAATTGTTAACATAGTTAAAAAAAATTCTGGCCCAAATTTTTTTAAATTGTCTGTACAGCTTATACGTTGAACTTTCTTCAATTGTACTATTCCATGACTGTATATACATGTCAACTGCAACTTGTTTAAACAGTTGAAGAAACTGGGATACAGATGTAACATAGTTATCATAACCACAATTATCGTAATACATTAGCATATCATACGCTTTTTTTGAATTCTTTGTTGATGCATATTTAAAAGTTTAAGCCAGGTTTTTTTTATGAAACGCCGTTGTGTATTTATAAGCATTGGTTAACGTCCGCATTCACCATAAACAATTACATTTGGTGTTTGGGCACCAACATTTAAGAACTTCTTACATGCCGTTGAACAGCTGTTAGCAGGAAAGAAGGCGCGTTATAAATGCATTTTTATTAATGTACATTTTCAAACCTATAAAATTTATTAATACCCAATACTTCGGTACCATACAAAAGGACTGGTTGATTTTGGGCATCATATATTTTGACAAATAGAGAATAGTCAACATTATCTAATTTATACAAGTGATGTAGTTTCCTAGAAGTGCCCTTTTACCCCGAGATCATATAACTAATATACATTTATTGAATTTTCAAGAAGATGAAAAAGGAATACATAGATATCTATATGAATTAACTGTTAAGACACGTTCACCTTTATACAACTAGCCTGATCGGTGACTTTAACAGAGATCTACGTGACTGTAAATACATGAAATCTAGATCGAGAATGAACGGAAGTTGATATCTGTCATTCCACTTGATGACCCAACAGTATATACTTATCATACAACTGTAGGGATATCCAAACTATGAATGATTATGTTTTTGTCAACACATAGCATAGATGCAAAGTTATTGGTTACGCCATAGATAACCGTCAACCTTACAGTATATCTGACCACTATCCCATACAGGTATACTTAGCTCCAGACACTCGTCACCGGTCCTATGGTAACGCTCGTGTTAACTGGAGGAAAGCCAGTGACGTTGACTTTATGTTATATAGGTACGAGACTGAGAACTATTTCAGAAACGTCTCATTCAATGTACATGATTTTTCCTCCCCTAAAGCATAAATCGATCATTATCTTGATTACATAGTCAAATCACTTCGCGCTTCAAGCTGAAATTTCTATCCCTACAGCAATTCCAATCCCATTTGAAACCTTACTGGAAAAACGATAATCTAAAACATTTACATAATTCAATGCGAGCTGCTCGTAAAGAATGGGTCTCACATGGAAATTCACGTAATAGCGACGATGTATATTATGTACAATATAACAAGCGAAGCGTATCTTTAGAAAACAACATCTCCACTCCAAAAGCAAACTCCAAAGTGATAATTTCAAGATATATTTGAAGCTGCCGAAGTTGACATACAAGAATATCTCAGAGTTGCAAAGCGTAACAAACGCAGTAAAGATCATATACGAGATTTACATTACAATGGTGACTCCTGCGACACACAGGAAGATATATGTAATATGTTTGGTCAGTACTTTAACGACCTATCGCAACCATATCATGATGAATCATTTGATGTATCTTTTACTGAGCATGTAAATAAGTTTGTTGGTGATATCTTGTCATCCAAGGAAGACCATCGTTATTTTCACAAAGATGTAAATCCACTATTTTGCCCCTTCAACAATGATGAACTGTTTGTATCCGCTAAACGTTCAAAATGTGATAAATCCTCTGGACCAGATGGCATCTTTAATGAACATGTTAACCGTGCGGGTAGAACGCTATTTCCTCATATCCTTACGTTGTATATCGCTATTGTTTCATATGAATATGTTCCTCATATGTTTAGTATTGGTAGAATAACTAGTACATAAAGGCCATGGTAAAATTAAGGATAATCCCTCTAATTATAGAGGGATTACCCTTAATTTTACCATGGCCTTTATGTACTAGTTATAGAGGGATTACGCTTACTTCTGTCATTGGTAAATTATTTGAAAGGCTTCTGCTCTGTAGAATTGAAAAGTGGGCAAAGGAATACACAGACGTTCCACATCCCTTTCATTTTGGATTTCAAAAGGGAGCTGGTGCAGAGATTGCTGCGCTTGTGTTACGTGAAAGTATTTCTTACTATACAGAAAGAGACTCTACAGTGTATTGTACGTTTATGGACAACGAAAAGGCTTTTGATAGATTGTTTAACTCACTCACATCATTTTGGAATAACCGGAAAACTATGGCGTCTTACCTATATTATGTGTTCATCCATGCAATCTTATGTTAAGTGTAATGGCCACTCATGCCACATCTTCGATGTAAGACAGTGTAACTTCTTTGAGTGGCATTTTAGAAGTTTGGGAAGTACAATATAGGACAAACTTTATGGATAACAACTTCTTTTTATTCGTGAGTGCGACGTTTCGATACAGATTCTTGTACCGTTGTCAAGCATAATGGAACATGAAGAAGGGGGAAGTGTATATATACTGGATGTAACAATGTAACAAAGAAAACAATATATTTAACATAATTGGCTAGGCAGAAAGCTGATGAAGCCAGAGAGTAGACAAAGGACAGGCGGGGAAGCCAATGATGTACAAATAATAATGGTATGTTTATACAGCAGAGTTTATACAGTAGGTTGGGCTTTGTCCTATATTGTAAGACAGGGTGTTGGCCAAGGTCGTGTTTTATCAGCATGGTTGTTTACGCTTTATATTAATGATTTGTTGCATGAACTCAAATTAACAATAAGTCAAATTATGGACACTGTCTCCCTTGGGGTAAAACACCAGGTATTCTTCTAGCTGATGACACCACACTGCTTAGCTGTACTACCAACGGGACTCAGTCTCTCTTGAATATTCTATATGATTATGCAAACAGGTGGCATCTTAAGTTTAATGCAAGCAAAAGTGCAATTATTGTTTTTAACAGCATTTTCAACAGGGCTTTCCCAGACGTCTACATTGGCAGAAACAACATCTCTGTGAAAACAAGTGTTGATTATGCCGGTGTGAACGTCTGTACATCAAGATCATCCTCTGCTCGCACTCTCCAGGCATGTGAAAAACTGCGACTCATTGTAAATGTTAATCATAATCATGGCTTATATTTTGGTGGTCCTAACCTCTTACATGCTGTACGTATTTGGCAAAATGTAATTCTACCATGTGCTTTGTATGGTTGTAATGTCTGGTGTTAGTTATCTCCCAAGGAATATGATATGCTGGAATTAGTGCAAAAATATTTCTGCAAAAATGTTCAAGGTCTATCTAAACGATCCAGTTCATTTATTGCCAGAAGCTGTTTGGGGCTCATTTCCATACAGCCATACGTAGAGCAGCAAACCCTCATATTCCTCGGGAGGTTAATACGTGCTGATATTAGTTTTGTTTTTAAGAAAATGTTCTGTCATAGATTTACACAGTTCATGTGCGATGACGCTCCTTCAATATGTCTAAAGTGTAAGACCTCACCCATCTTTCATATGCTGGCTTTGGTAAGAAAATATGGAATATATGACTTAAATATGTATTTGGAAACTTCTGTATTTCCAAGTAAACAACTATGGGCTCATCAGGTTAAAACGGTGATTCATGAAGCAGACA